CTGTTAGAAGAAACTGTACCTCAAAATTTTAAAGAGAGAACAACTTATATATATATGCCAAAAATAAGGGTAACTACTATGAAGGGATAAAATATGACTCTAAAAATGAAAAATAAAAAATGTTTTTTTTTTAAAAGGGATTGATAAGATGTTGGTTGAAAAAGGGAAAAAGAAAAATAAAAAAAACAGTCAACAAAAATTAACTTTGATGAAACAATGAATCATGGTTAAAAAAAAAAAAAAAAAAGCCATGAATCTATGTGCAGTATTCCCCTAGCGCTGGAGTTCTCCCATTCTCCTTGATCGATCAACTTGGTCTTGGCTTGCTGGCTGTTTGTGCTGATCTTCTGGGGGAGGGGCCTGTTGCTGTGGTTTCCAAATATCTTTGCCGGAGGCGGAATTGCCCCGCCCTTGTCGGTCCGGGCTAAGGAAGCTGCTCCGGTTTGTTCTCAGGAGCTTTTGTTCCCTGCAAGCTCTCGGTACAGCCTTGGAGGACCAGGGCAGAAATGGTGGCCTCCCAATCTCCACCCGGAGGAGCTGAGAACTCGGGGCCCCGCTTCTCAGTGTGCCCCCAGAGAAAAGCAGTCACTTCCGTGTCCCCGGTCTCCGGCCGCACTCTGTGCTCACCCGGCCTGTGATCGAGCGTTGCTATCTCTGGCACCCGACCCCGCGCGGAGTCTCCAAACCCAGCAGATCCCTGCAGTGCGTTCCCGCACGGCTCCTCCCCGGGAAGGAAGGGGAGTCTCCCTGGATCTGCCGCCTGCTGGGTCCCTGCTGGAGGAGCCGTGCCCCGACTGGGCCGCAGATCACAGTTTATGGCAACCCCGAGCTGAGAGCCCGCGACTCTGCTCCGTCTCTGCAGCTGGCTTCCCCGCTCCGATACCTGGGAGCTCTGGCGCACTCAGGCACCCCCGGTCTCTCTGTGACCCCAAGGGTCCTGAGACCACACTGTCCTGGGAGGATTCCACCCCCCGCTTAGCCACTGCAGCGACGTCCCTCCGCCGAGCCAACTTCTAAAAGGTCCGATTTTGTGCTCCGCGGCTCTAGCACTTGCCAGAAGTGGCCGGCAGAGGCCCCTCCCCCACCGTCTATCCTCCCGAATATCGCCTCGGATTCACTTCTCCGCACGCCCTACCTTCCAGTAAGTGGTCGCTTCTCTGTTCAGAGAGTTGTTGCTACTCTCCTGTTCGATCTCCTGTTGAGTTCGTAGGTGTTCAGAATGGTTTGATCCCTATTCAGCTGAATTCCTGAGACCAGACGAAATCTAGGTCTCCTACTCCTCCGCCATCTTGCTCCGCCCCCCCAATTCTTGCAATATGTATGATCTTCTTTATCTCTAGCAATGCTTTCTGCCTTAATGTCTATTGGTATTTTAGTAATATAGCCTTAAAAGTTTCTTTTGCTACTTGATTGTACATCTTTTTTGACCTTTTTATGTCTCTGTATCTTAAGTATGTTCTTAAAATATTTTTCAAAGTTTATTGTTTTTTAATCCTATCACTTCTCCTAAGTCTTTGTTGTAATATATTTCAATTCTACCTTGATATTTTTTAACTCCCACAAATTCAACATTGTTTTTTTAGTTTGTATAGTCAATGTTTATTTAGATATACCCACACTCTGCCATTTTCTTCTTCTTTTTTTAAAATCGCTTCTTATATCCCAGACCTAACTTCTGGAATAATTTTCTTTCTACTAAAGGTACACTCTAGAATTTTCCTAGTAGGGTCTTTTGTTAGTAAAATCTGTTTTGTTTGCCTAGAAATGTATTTCACTTTCTTCTTGAAAGATAGTTTCTCTAGGTATTAAATTCTGTTTCCTTCTCAGCACTCTGAAGATTTTAGTACGCTGTCTTCTGGTAACTAGTGTTGCTATTGAGAGGTCAGTTGTCATTGTAGCTGCCATTCTGTATGGATAACCTTGTTCTTCGGGCTGCTTTTATGATCTTTTTGAATTTGGTGTTCTTAAGTTTGACTATAACATATCTAAGTACGGATTTATATTTTTACAACGTTACTGAGGTATAATCGACTACAAGAAGTTGTACATATTTAGAGTGTACAATTTTGATGTTGTTTAACATTTGTATTTACCAAGGGAAAGGCAAGGTCAAAGGATGAAAGCCAGTCTAAAGGACAGTTAACAGACTTTAAGAACCTAGAACCTTAGGTTCAACAGCTGAGTAGAAAGCTTCTGGTGACCTTCTTTTGACATTACTTACCACGTAGTGGTAAACTGCAATTACGTTCAACCAAGAAAGAACTTTTATAATTCCTGAAACTTTAACTCTATCCATTATAAAAATACAATTTTTATTCATCTTAACTACTTAAATGAAGGCCCTGGCAAAGAGAACTTCTGAAAGATACTCCCGTAACTGCCTATTACTGTCCAACACAAACTCTGCCTAGCCACTGTCTCTTGGATGCCCCCAAACATAACATACTTGTTCTTAATGCCCAACACTTGCTCTTGTTCTTCTCTAACATGCACTTTCCCTTTGTTCTCTGCCACTCTAAATCTGGGTCCAACCTCAGGTCTCCCACAAAGCCTTCCTTAGTCTTTCTAGGTCACATCTCTTCTTCTGAGCTCTGTCTACATGACATAACTAATTACATAATCAGATGATCTGGTACACTTGTGTTATTGTTTTTTTTTTTTTTTTTTTTTTAAAGATTTTATTTATTTATTTGAGAGAAAGAATGAGAGACAGCATGAGAGGGAAGAGGGTCAGAGGGAGAAGCAGACTCCCTGCTGAGCAGGGAGCCCGATGTGGGACTCGATCCCGGGACTCCAGGATCATGACCTGAGCCGAAGGCAGTTGCTTAACCAACTGAGCCACCCAGGCGCCCCACTTGTGTTATTGTTAAACAGCTTTGTGTATTTATATGACTTGTCTCCACAGTCACTAGAAGTGATTGAAGGACACAGATTCTAGGTCTGGAAGTTATGCCTTCATTTTATCCTCCACAGCACTTACGACATGAAATAGTTCCCTTAGCAGATATTTAACTCTTGTTTAATTGAATGTAATTGAAATCATCCACTGGATAAATGACTTTGAGAGTCAATTAGATGCTACTTCTTCAACATCACAGTTCTAGTTAAAGGAATTACTCAGCTGATGGAAGCTTAGCCTTTTCTGTCCTGCTACTGCATGACTAACTTTCACAAAAAGATATGTTTTCTATCTCTTAAAAGGACCCTACATATGTCACCAGGCTGCGTCTCCACATAACTTTGATGAAAATTTTGGTTAAAATTTGAGAAGTTGTAGAGGCACCTGGCTGGCTCGGTTGGGAGAGTGTGTGACTCTTGATCTTTGGGTCGTGAGTTCGAGCCCCATGTTGGTTGTAGAGATTACTTAAAAAAAACTGGGGAAGTTATAAAAGAGGATGATCACATATTCAAAATTTTAAACATAGGCCATGTTGATATGGCAGCGACAAACACAGAACTCGAGATTTCAAGGGGTTCAGTTTCAGTGATACTGTTTTCATGCCTGAATAAATTCCCATTCTTTCTCTTAATCTACCATAAATCTAACATTTGTTAGCTCTAGAGGGCAGGAATTTCAGGCTCATGTAAGCATTCTGGAAGGCCTAACTTTTACATTAATCTCAGTGTCCTAGAACCTAAGAGGGTTCTACAGGAGGGCAAGTATAAGAATATGATCAGCAGCAACTGGACTAGGTTGAACTAGGGCTCAAATCCAGTTGCTGCTATCTGAGAATGCAAGCTATATTAGCAATTATTTTCATCTCTCTAAGAGAGATTTTTACCACTAATTCTTTTAGTTTTAAAATGAGGACTATTTCCCCAATCTCATTCTCCTCTACTTTACATGCAACCGTTCTAACGTGCAGCTTTTTATGTGTGTACTATGCATATCGTTTTGTTTGGACTTCACTTTACATAAATATTATTGCATTGTACATCTCTTTTCTTTCTTCTACACAGCACTTCGCTTTTAAGTGCATCCATTTGCTTTCTTTACATTTAGTCATTGCTTGTAATTACTACTATTATATTAAGATATACCTTCACCACATTTTGTTTATCTACTATCCCAGTGATGGGAGTCTCCACCTCCTTGCCCCCAAGTAACACTGCTTAAAAAAAAAAAATACTATATAGGCAAATCAATACATGTAGGTAGATTGCCTTTAGGCTTCAGACTGCCAATTTGTATATAACCTCTAACCTCAACTTGTTTATAACCTCTACGATAAACCTCTTGCTCAATACCTGAAATTTCTTATCTCCTAGTTCCAAAAAAATAGAGTATAAAGAAAACCAACAATAGTATTTACAGAGTTCTGTCAGCCATCCAAGCATGAGAGATGTCATCACATGTGACCAAAAGATGACATTTTCGCAAGAGAAAATTCTTAAACCACTAAGTCAATAACCAAAGTAAGTGTACTTATTCCAGAGAAAGACTGATGGGCAGAGGGTGTCAGCTGCACTTTGTTGCATTCTCCCTCTCCAGTCACTAGGTTATTTTACACAGCAAAGAGAGCAGGAGCTGACACAATGGGGCCCCACCTCTGAGTCACAGACATGCCTTTTCCAATCTTAAGTTATCCTACATACAAACTTCCTGTTTAGGAAGTATTGAGGTGAGGGGCAAAGTCAGGAAAGAACATAAGGAAATGGTAAGCTATATGAAAGCAAGCTTGTTCTAAAACTGCATTAAAAATCTGATATTAAATTGCTTTACTTCAGAAGCCTTGCTCTTCTGCACTTTAAATGAATCTCCCACTGCTGTTTTGGTTGTTTCCTTGATTTGGGTATCAGTGATCTCCACCAGACCATTTTGGAGGCAAGCCTGGACTGTGGGGCAAGCAAGGAGGGGAGTTACGGGAAAGCTATTTTTTGAGTACCTACAACACAGCAAGAGCCTCCCAAGTGTAAAGGGAATGACCATACTGATTAAGTCACTCCTTCGAGATCCAAAAGATGTCCCAATTACGGAGGATAAACTGAATCAAACATACTTGCATTCTCCACCAAAACCTTTGGCATGCGCTGGCGGTTCATCAGGAGTGGGAAAGGATCTCGCCCATCGTTCCGCTCATGGACTTCTCGAATTTCCACTGTATCATCCATAAGATAGTAATGAATGATGTAGGTCCGACATTCACCAAACATGCTGTCCGTATCATCCCAGATTGCATAGAATCGAAGAACCTTTGAGGAATCCAAAGTAGTGACTTAAGTAAGAATTCTACAAGTGGAGAGATTAACTTAACTATTTTGGCATTCATATATCAGACAATGATGGAAAGATTAGCTACAAAGACTATGAAGTAATCACAGATGGTAAAAAAAAAATTCACCAAAGATACAAAAACATACAAAAATTATATACCAGATGTCAACAACTGTAAAATATTAAATAACAGGCTTATAAGTTTGTACTGAGAAAGCAGAATTCACTTTGATCCAAAATATTAGTCAGTGAAACAGAAGCCGAATTAAAAGAGCAATGGAAACTATAAGAAACTGATGAGAGAAATTGAAGAAGAAGAAGATAAGTGAAGAGATATTTTGTGCTCACAGTAAAAGAATTAATATTGTTAAAATGTCCATGCTACCCAAAGCAATCTACAGATTTAATGCAATCCCTATCAAAATTCCAATGGCATTTTTCACAGAACTAGAACAAATAATTCTAAAATTTGTATGGAACCACAAAAGACCCTGAATAGCCAAGAAACTCTTGAGAAAGAACAAAGGCAGAGGTACCATGCTCCCTGATTTCAAACCATACTACAACACTATAGCAATCAAAACAGTATGGTACTGGCATAAAGATAGACACACAGACCAGCAGAACAGAAATGAGAGCCCAGAAACAAACTCACACTTCTATGGTCAATTAATTTATGAAAAATGAGGCAAGAATATACAATGGGGAAAGAGTCTCCTCAATAAACGGTGCTGGGAAAACTGTGGACAGCTACATGCAAAAGAATGAAACTAGACCACTTTCTCACACCATACACAAAAATAAACTCCAAATGGATTAAAGATCTGAAACATAAAACTTCTAGGAGAAACATAGGCAGTAAGCTTGTTGACATTGATCTGAGCCATGTTTCTTTGGATGTGACTCCAAAGGCAAGGGAAACAAAAGCAAAAATAAACAAATGAGACTACATCAAACTAAAAAGCTTCTATACAATGAAGAAAACTATCAACAACATGAAAAGGCAGCCTACTGAAGGGGAGAAGATATTTGCAAATCATATCTGATAAGGAAGGAATTAACATCTAAAATATATAAAGAACTCCTACAACTCAATAACAAAACACCACAAATTCTGATTAAAAAAAAGTTGGCAGAGGATCTGAATAGATATTTTTCCAAAGAAGACATACAAATGGCCAACAGGTACATGAAAAGATGCTCAACATCATTAATCATCAGAGAAAGGCAAACCAAAACACCAATGAGATATCACCTTACACTTGTCAGAATAGCTATCATCAAAAAGACAAGAAATAAGTGTTGGTTGGAGAAAAAGGAACCCTCGCACACTGCTGGTGGGAATGTAAATTGGTGTGACCACTATGGAAAACAGTATGAGGTGCCTCAGAAAATTAAAAATAGAAATACCATATGATCCAGCAATTCCACTACGGGGTAGCCTCCAAAGAAAACGAAACACTAATTCAAAAAGATATAAGCAACCCCATGTTCCTTGTAGCATTATTTACAATAGTCAAGATTTGAAAATAACCTGTCCACCAATGGATGAATGGAGAAAGAAGATGTAGTTTATATATACAGTGGAATATTACTCAGCCATATAAAAGAGAAATCTTGCCCTTTGCAACAACATGGATGGACTTTGAGGGTATTATGCTAAGTGAAACAAATCAGACAGAGAAAGACAAATATTGCATAATGTCACTTATATGTGGAATCTAAAAAACAAAACAAACAAAACCAAACCCAGCTCATAGACATGGAGAACAGATTGGTGTTGCCAGAGGGTAGGGAGCTTGGGGTGCAGGTGGTAGGGGAATAGATGAAATAGGTGAAGGGGATCAAGAAGCACAAACTTCCAGTTATAAAATAAATAAGTCATGGGAATGTAATGTATAGCATAGGGATTATAGTCAATAATATTATATTAACTTTGTAATATGACAGATGGTAACTAGACTTATTGTGGTGACAATTTTGCAATGTATTCAATTGTTGAATCACTATGTTGTACACCTGAAGTTAATATAATACATCAATTATACCTCAATAAACAAAAAGAAAAAAAGAAAGAAAAAAGAGCATTGTGTTTTATACAGGGGCTCATATGTATTAAGAAAGGTATATTACATATAGGTACTGCTTATATGTAATTAGTATGGAAAGAATTTTTATTTATTAATGTCTTTTTTTATCCATCAACATACCTCTTCTAGTAACAGTATCAACAACACAATCTTTAAAGACAAAAGAATAACAGATATATGATTGATATAAAGAATGTCCTTAAAAGGCGATACTAGTGCTAGGCAAATTTTTCTGAACTAAAAGGAATTACATTTCTGAGAGAACACCAGCAGCAAAGAAGCACTGAGGATGATCTCCCCATCTTCTTTTCTACAGAAAGGAGAAGACCAAATCTCCTCCCACACACCAACTCACAGTGGGTAGGATAGGACGGTTAGAACAGAGCTGGAAAATACCTAGAATATTCTATACTCAAAATTCATATAAAATATAACAAGGAAGCATCTGTGATGGGATTTCTGTGAAATTACTATTTTAACATTAGAAAACTACCTATATGCAATAGCTTCGAAATTTCCCAATAAATCACTTAGGGTTTCCCAAAGAAGGCTATGAAATGAACTCCTATTTGGGAAAAGAAGTAGTTGGAAACGTAAAGTGGGAAGCAGACATAGCTCAGGAATTGCTTTAAGATTGAAAAGTTTGGTGGAACTCCTAAAACTTAACTCCACAGCCTCCTCTGGGTCTCTTAATACAAAACTTGGGCATTCTTGTACCTCTAACTCTAGATGAAACCAGAAAAATCGCACTGTCTCCAAATGGCTAAATTACAGATGTAATGTTTTAAAACACACATCTACCAGAACAGCTTGCTAATAAACATGCATCACATGTGGAGATGAGCAAATCCACTGAGGTGCTTACGTCACTTACTTGTTTGTCGAAGGTGAGAAACTGCTTCAGTTGGTCAAAGTCTGATGGGGTGACATACTTACGAAGAGGCTGTTTCCGGAGTTCAGTGTAAGGATCAAGAGCCATCTTCTCTGGTGGATTTAATTCAATTCCCTGACTTTCCAAAAATACCTAAATCACGCAAAAGTAATGATCATCTTTCTTGAAGCTTCCAGGAGTATTAACTGATGGTGTAAAGATAAGTGTAATAATAATTTCTATGCCAGTGTCCAAATTAATCGTTAGCTTGCAGTTTGAAGCACATCTTAGCAGCATTAAGCCTCCAATTGACCCAATGCTATAATGCAGGTAACAACTGATAATTACCATAAGTATTCTATATTATAAACTTGCTAGGCAATATGCTGAGCTAACTGGAAGACATGATAGTAAGGTAACTGGCTCCATATATGAATTTAGATCAATGAAATTTAGTTAGGTGCCCAAGAACAGAGTAAGTCTTAGGATTGCTTACATACACACATCTGAAACCCAACCACGGTTTCAAACAATATGTAATTCATATCAGGGATGGGGGCAAGCTACATAATGGCAAAGTTAAGCTGAAATCAAATTCCCAACTTTCAACTCACCAAAAACAAGTATCTGATTAAGTCCCCATCTCCACCCCCCTCCAAAAAGGAAAAGAATCACTGGTTATTTTAGACCAGAAAATATTTTAGCAACATAGGAGAGACAAACCAAGTACTCAAATCTCACCAGATAAAGTTAAGGAAAGCATCTGAACTTGATATGATCTTGTTTAATTTGCTAATTATAAGTAAATACAACATTTTCAGTAACTACATCTTTTAATACAACTTGGCATTTCTTCTTCATAAAAGCACCACAATAAGCTGTATTTTTTTTTTTTTTTTTTTAGTAATCAGAAAAGAACAATGTCATGGGATCTGTTTACATTCTAGAACTTGAAATTAATCTGAAATCTGGGTTTCTTTTGGGAATTGTGTGATTTGCTTTTGGACAATTCAATAGAAAATATGCAGGACTCAGAGCCAAAATATTTGGGTTCTAATATTAGCTCTGCTGCTAACTAACTTGTAATCTTAATACTTAAAGTTTCATTAAGCAGTCTCCAGTATCTTTCAATACTAAAATACTGGGATCTCAATGTCTATTAAAAGTACTGAGCTGGAGATAATGACTAACAATATTCTCCTCTCCCTTGAGATGATATATTAATGTAGCAGGATTATTGATTGAGGTATTTCATGGGGGTTTTACTCCTTTCTGTTGCTTTCAACGGATAACCAGGCCCTTTGTTAACCTTATCTTAGGGATTTGGGCAGGAATGCAGAAGCTTCCTGAAGTTTGACTATTCTTCCTGTCTCTTAGAAAAAGCCTAAACTCTTTGAAGAGATTATTCTAAAGTATCCCAGAAGGAGGGGAGAGAAGGAAATGTCTTTGAAGGCAAGGAGAGAAAAAGGGGGAAATTCTCCCAGACTGGAAAATAGACACAAGTTGATGGGTCTCAGAAGAGCAAGACTCCACATGTGCTCTTAGGGATGCTCGAAGCACACGTGTAGCCCAGTCAGGCACATCGGTCACAGGCACTCGGGGTCTCAGTATCTGACCTCGCACCAAAGCATCCAGGAGGTGCCCTTGGGCACTGACAGCCTATGGACCCTGCCTGTATGACCCCATTAGGCCTGGGTGTGCCTTGTTGTTCTGAGGGCCTGGAATTTTTGGCAAAGCTGAGGGTGAATAGAAATAGCAGCCCAGTTGGATGTGGGTTCAAGTAGATTTTAAGTTATCTTTAAAACACAAAACAATATTTCCTGCACACTTGCATATGCAGAGCAGGATTCACACCCGCTATACTACTGGTCATACTCTAATGAAGATAATAAATTCTAGATCTCTGATTTCTGGAGTTAATTTTTTTTACTGTGTTAATTCTGTCTCTAGGACCAATGTTTATTTGGAGCAGTGAGGAGGGGCTCAGAAGGGGTGGTGGTGGTGATATATTTGATTAGAGGTGGCTCCTTGTTCAAGTCCACACCATAAAGACAACTATCTTCTTTATCCACTCATAGGTCCAGCCCTAATGAAAACCATCAAATTAGATAAGATGTGTATAAATTTTAAACTGTTACAGGAGCCAATTTCTAACAGATCAACTACTGAAAACATAATTTAATCTAGTCATTGGTACCTAAAATATGCAACTCTAGTCATTAGCAGTCATCAAAATAGAGTTGATCCTATATTTGCACTTTTGCCTACTTGCAAAAATTTATTAGTAACCTCCAAATCAATAGTCATGGTGCTTCTGTGGTCCTTTGCAGACACACACAGAGTGGTAAAAATTTTGAGTTGTCTGATAAGGTACATTCCTAGCTGAGGTCAAATGAGATGACATTCTGCCTTCTTATTTCAGCTTCCATACTGAAAAAGTGTCCATTTAGATGTCTGTTTAGTGCCACTTTTTCACACTTTTGTGCTTTTGTTGCTTTTGCTATTTAAAATGGCCCCCAACCTTAGTGCTAAAGTGCTGTCGCGTGTTCTAAGTGCAAGGAGGCTGGGATAAGCACTTAGTGTCACTAAACTGCACATCGAAGAAAAGTGGTTAAGGTGGTCACGTTTATGTTATGTACTTTTTATCTCTCTCTCTCTCTCTCTCTCTCACACACACACACACACACACACACACACACACACACACACACAAGGCTGTGACATGCCTTCAGGAGAAAGTACATGTGTGAGATATGCTTCCTTCAGGCATGAGCTCCAGTGCTGCTGGCCATAAGTTCGATGTTCATGAATCAACAAAGTATTTTCAACATGGCAACTTTAAACAGAAACACACATAAAACAAGCTTATAGAAACCTAACCTCGTATTTCTCCCAGGAGCGATGGATCCATAGTTGCTAATTAAGGGCTTGTGGTGACTTCCTAGAACAGAACTACCGTCAACAATGAGAGTTGGGGCCCCTGGGTGGCTCAGTCGTTTAAGCGTCTCTCTTTATGAGAGTTGACTCACCGCTCAGGAATGAACTGCTGATATTCAGATTGTTCATAAAGAGACAACTGTAAAAATAGCCACAATACCTGAAATTTACATAACATTTTATAATTCCTCATTATAGGTACAGTTCTGAAACTGCCTATGATAAAAAGGACCTCGAAAACCTAAACAATGAGCGATCAAAACCTGTTTTCCCAAATATGGTCTAGCACCTCTACCTTCTGCACTGTTTTTCACTGTTGCTGTGGGATGGCACGGATGCCAGGGCTCCTTCCTTCACTTCCTTGGGGTCTCTGTTCAGGGTGAGGCCTCCCTTGGCCAGCCTCTATACACCCTCCTCACCCTCCCCTCCCTTTTCCTCAGCTCTAGTCCCTTCTGCAGCTCTAAGCAGCATCTGACAGGTTATATACTTGCATGCTTATTTTTGCCTCCTCCAGCCAGAATGTAATAGCCTTTATTTTTTTATTTTTTTAAGATTTTATTTATTTATTTGAGAGAGAGAATGAGAGAGAGAACGAGAGGGGGGAGGGTCAGAGGGAGAAGTGGACTCCCCACTGAGCAGGGAGCCCGATGCGGGACTCGATCCCAGGACTCCAGGATCATGACCTGAGCCGAAGGCAGTCGCTTAACCAACTGAGCCACCCAGGTGCCCAGTGTAATAGCCTTTATAAGGACAAGCCTATATATGTGGCACCTAGAACCACTAGGCTTGGCACAGAGCAGGCACTTAGTAAGTATTTGCTAAATAAATTACTAAATGCAAAACAGAAATGAGTGGATTCACAGGAACTCAGTGCGTGGTAAAGATCAATCACATGTGGCATTTGGTAACATAGGATTAAAGGCACAAAAGAATTCAGAAACTGTATCTTTGCTTCTAGAAATTTTTTAAACTAAGAAATTTAGAACTGACTTCCTAATACCTACATTTTGTGCTCAAGAAAGGACTCTGTGTCTATGTACGTACACATAACTTTAAGTTGTCAAAAATCCATACTTATGAAATAGAGGGAACGGAGGATTCTTCTCGATATAAACAAGCATTCTCCTGACAATAAATTGTCTTTATTTCAGGAATTCTTTTTTTTTTTTTTTTAAGATTTTATTTATTTGAGAGAGAGAGACACAGCGAGAGAGGGAACACAAGCAGGGAGAGTGGGAGAGGGAGAAGCAGACTTCCCGCTGAGCAGAGAGCCCGATGCGGGGCTCGATCCCAGGACCCTGAGATCATGACCTGAGCTGAAGGCAGACGCTTAATGACTGAGCCACCCAGGCGCCCTCAGGAATTCTTTAGATAGCCAGTTTCTCCAGAATATAGCAAGTATGATTTACAGGAAAAATATGAACTGCACAAAAAATGTGAGGCTCATATCTGCTAATAAAGGTAATACTACTTTTGTAACTCAAACTTCAGATAAATCGTCCAATGCCTCTTTCATATTTCTATCCCATCAAGGGTGCTACCACTTGAACCGGCATGGGAACTGGTTCCTTATCAAATGATTCAGCTATAATGCAAGTTTAATTTTATTTGAATGGACATGTATCCATATCATTGTGAAAAAAGTGATATCACTACACAGTGTTGACAGTTATCAACACACACACAAATACCTAATCAACCTACATAATAATCCATTCAGGACAGAGTACCAGTGTCCTCCTCTTACCCTTATATTTTTCTTTTTAAAGATTTTATTTATTTATTTGAGAGGGAGAGAGCAAGAGCAGGGGTGGCGGGGAGAGGCAGAAGGAGAGGGACAAGCAGACTCCTCGCCAAGCAGGGAGTCCCACACGGGGCTGGATCCCAGGACCCCAAGATCATGACCCGAGCCAAAGGCAGATGCTTAACTGACTGAGCCACCCGGACGCCCCTCCTCTTGCCCTTATAAATGAAATGTATCCTTCCATAAATTAGAATGATGCCTCAGACACCACAATTTCCAGAAATATATACTATACCTGCGTGAATCGGTCGCAGTCAACAATGCGGAAGGTTTTGCCATAAATTGTAATGTTTATTCCTCGATTTAGGTCTTTCCAATGGTAATGGTCTCCCTGGTCATTCTTGGTTAGCCGCTGGCGTTTGATTAACTTGCCTTGAAGGATCCCAGAGTTTTCCACAACAGGCTCCACGACAGACATGCTGTCATCTTCCAGGTAGTAGTAAATGTTCACTTGACGAATCCGATAATGTTCCTCAGTTGACATAGGAACATCTTCTTGGAAATAGGCATCAAATTTCAGCACCTATAACACACAAGGCAGAGAGAAATGGCATTGTATTAGTCTCTCATCCAAAAAACATCCAGTATCCTCCTCTAAAGAGAGCCACTCGGGGAGAACTAAATACTCATCACTCCTATTTTCTAAATCAAAGGCTGCTAAACTACGGTCCATGGGACCCATCTATTCCTGCCAGCTGATTTTGTATCACCTCCAAGCTAAGAATGTTTTATTTACATATTTAAATGGTTAAAAAAATCAAAAGGATAAAATCTCACAACACATGGAAATGATACAAAATGCAAATTTCAGTATCCACAAATAATTATGTAAATAATTAGCAGGTATTTGTCAATGGCTGCTTTCCAATTATAAGGGCAGGATTGAGTAGCTGTGATAGAGACCACGTGGGCTGCTACTATGGACTGAATTTTGTCTTTGCCCCCCCAAAAAAATTTGTATGTAAAAGCCCTAACCCTTAATATGACTGTATTTGGAGACAGAGTCTTTAGGAAGTAATTAAGCTTAAGTGAGGTCCCAACAGTGGGGCCCTGATCCAACTGAATTAGTGACTGTGTAAGGAGAGGAAGACCTCTCTCTCAGCAAACCTACCCTGAGGAAAGGCCACGTGAGGACATAGCAAAAAGGCAGCTATCTAAAGCCAGGAAGAGAGCCCTCACAAGAAACTGAATCAGCAGGACCCTTGATCTTAGACTTCCAGCCTCCAGAACAGTGAGAAAATTAATTTCTATTATGTAAGGCACCAGTATATGGTATCTTGTGATGGCAGCTCAAGTAGACTAAGACACCTGCAAAGCCCCAAATATTTACTATTTGGCCCTTTACAGAAAACGTTTGCTGATCTTTGCTCTAGATACTCAAACTACACATAGACTACTTAGTAATGTGGTTCTTGATGAGATGGCTTAAAGACCTTAACTGTACTAGCTTCACTTCCGTGTCAAAAATCTCTTAGAATTTCTGCAAAGAGTCAAAAATTTGGGCAAGACTATAACCTTTGGTTTCAAAATGAAAACGAAGCCTCAAGTCCATTTCTTTAGAAGGAAAGTGGCCTGTAAATGCATATTAATGACATATTCATCCTTAGAGAATTCATATGAATGAGACTCAAATCATCAATTCAGCACAGAATCTTTGAGTGGCATGTAAACACACCCTCACTGTACTCAGAAACATACATGACAGATGGAGGAAACCTTAGGTCCTCTGGGGAGTATCAGCGGGAATCCAAAATGGCACGTTCTCTTGCACATTTAAAAATATTAAAAGCTTGTGTTGACAAGCTTTGGGATTAACTTTAAAACTTTCTTTTATCCTGTCTTTATTTTTAATATTTCCTCCCATGAAGAGAAAATACTAGAATGGTGTTATAGGTAGACAAGAGTGTGAACCTAAACCTCCACTGGAACTAGAGGAACAAACCAAGAAGACCGTTTAGTGAAGACACAAATATGGCTTGATGAATGGGAAGATGCATAATTTTATACATGAGTGCTGTTGCTAAAAAGGTGTAGTGTCTACTGTGGAAAAACAAGATTAAAAGCCAAAGAGATCAGGCAATTGCTTATGTGAAATAAGCATATAATAGAATAAAACCTTAAAACTCTTAATAAAAAGATGAAATACATGAATGGAATAGAATGTTTAAAGGAGAAAGATAATACAGTAAAAACAAAAGACAAAAGATCGTTTTCAAGTAACACTGTAGATCCAGTACAAAGAACTGAAATGGAGACATGATCACTATAAGTGGGGGCATGATCACTAATTCATGCATGAAATGGTCTGTAATATGAGCCACAGATATATAAATACACAAATGTGAGAGCCAGAAATAATCAGCTAATTGAACCTCCCTCATTTTACAAATGGAGACTCAGGGTGGTAGAGTGACTTGCCCGAGGCCAAACTCAGGGTTAGGGGCACAGCTGGGGCTGAAACTATCTGTAGACTCACAAAGAAACAAGAAAAAGGTAGAGAAATACCCAACCATGTAACTGATACTGTTTAGGTTCAGCTTCTGAACGGATATATGAACATGTTCCTATTGGATGAGTTCACTGAGATGGGGACAGGAGGATGGTATGGATTATGGCCGAGACATTTAAAAAAATTTTTAAACTAAGTGATTAATGAATGTAAATGGCATAATTCCACCACCAGGTTATTTTCTATTTTTCAGCCACTAGTTTCAATAGGTACTCAATTAGGGGCACCTGGGTGGCTCAGATGGTTAAGCATCTGCCTTCGGCTCAGGTCATGATCCCAGGGTCCTGGGATCAAGCCCTGCATCAAGCTCCCTGCTCCGTGGGAAGCCTGCTTCTCCCTCTCCCACTCCCCCTGCTTCTGTTCCCTCTGTCACTGTGTTTCTCTCTGTCAAATAAATAAATAAAATCTTAAAAAAAAATAGGTACTCAATTAAAGTTGACTAGCTAGATGAACACTATAGACATTTAACAAAAAGAAAAAATGAAAAGAAAGACCAAAAAAAAGACAGAAGGAAAATAGGCTAGGAGTAAATTAGGAAAGCTAACTTGTAAAAACTGGTCAGTAGTTCTCAGACTCAGTTATACATAAAAATTATCTGGAAATTAAGATCGATGAGGGTTAGGGTGACATCTCAGTTTCTTAAAAGTCCCACTAGGGATTCTGTTGCATGGCCAGAGTTAGGACTACCTCACCTTAAAGAGGAGGCCCACTGACAAGGAGAATCAAGGATGATATGGAAATGTCAACAGATGGAACTAAAATAGCTCACATTACAAAAGCATAAGGGTAAATGAGACAGAAATGAAAATGTTAGACTATCCTTTGGTTATATTATGCAAACCTGAAACGTTCCCTGAAAAATAAAAACTTAGGAAGACAGACTGATTAAAACTGACAAAAGATGGAGTTGTCGTGATGCATTTCACAAAGACTAAGGGTTTGCCATCAGTACAGATAAGACTTCCAAAAAGTAGACAGCACAGAGCAGGTAAACATGGAGCAATGTGAACTCAAGAATTCAGAATTCATCCAACTTTTCTCTAACTGTATTTGGAAAACATTTCACTGAAGTCTACAGGGAATTATTTTCTGTAATAAGCTTCCTGACTAAAGAAAGCCTTTTTCAATCCTGAGTTCAGCTGTCTATGACTAAAGGTTGAGGCATTTGAACAATTTTCTCCTCAGAGCCCTCTGGAAAACCTGTGGTTTGCTGTTGACTTTTCTGCAAACAGTTGGCTCTCAGAAATCTGAATTCAAGGGGTACCCGGAAATCCCAGATGATACCTTTTTGTCAAAAGCCACATGTGCAGGAATAAATTCTGCAGGTGGGGCCTGCTTAGGTTGGCCATAAGTTAAAACTGGTGCCTTGTTGGCCAACTCATCCAGCTCAGCCTGGGACAGCTGGTTGACCTGGAGCCGCTCCCCGCCTATACCAACTGTTGGATGTCGAACAACTGCATAGCCGTTCCTGTAGCCCAGTGTCTGGCTTCTATGAAATGCTGCTTTCTGAAGAACAAAAGAAGTGTTTCGTTAATAATATTTTATAAATATTTGTTAGGTAAAAGAGCTAACTTTCAAAAACATCATAACTTAAACCTTCACTTAAAAACATCACAAACCTTGTAACAAAATGCTTACCTATATTAGAAGGTTCTTATATTTTAAGCTAAAACACCTGGTCAGGAACAGGGAGAAAAGCAGCAGTCTGAGCTTAAAATAAAACTTAAAGCCCTGCTCCAGAATGCCCAATATAATTACCAGCTCACTTTTCATGAGAAACTAAGATATTATCTTATCTATACTCAATCTTTCACTTAATTCTTTCTCTGTTTTTAATTTTTTTTTAAAGATTTTATTTATTTATTCATGAGAGACAGAGGGAGAGAGAGGGAGAGAGAGAGAGAGAGAGAGAAGCAGAGGGAGAAGCAGGCTCCCAAGGAGCAGGGAGCCCGATGTGGGACTCGATCCCAGGACCCTGGGATCATGACCTGAGCCGAAAGCAGATGCTTAACCATCTGAGCCACCCAGGTGCCCCTCTGTGTTTTTAATCTTATCTAGTGTTCATAAACCATGGAACCTAGAAGATCTGACTCTGAGAAATGAATTTTTGCCTAAAATAAAAGGCTTTTCTTGTTATAATAATACTGATACATTCATACAACTCTTTGGAAGCAAGTGAGTATTATACGTTTAAAGTCTTGAACTCAATAAATTCTACCCTCGATCCTTTATTTTAAAAATATAACCCAAAATTATGAGAAAGAATAATATGCCTAAAGCTGACCACTGTAATGTTAATTACAATAGTAAAACATTGGAAACAATATAAAAGACAAACATGAGTTAATGATGGAAAACTCACTTAACGGACTATGACGCAGCCGTTAAAATATTGGTTTTAAAGACCATGTGGCAATCTGCAAAAAATGTTTATGATTCAATAAGCACAAAAAGCAGTATATAAAATTATATGTATACCATAGGGCACCTGGGTGGCTTAGTTGGTTAAGTGTCTGCCTTCGGCTCAGGTCATAATCTCAGAGTCCTGGGATCGAGCCCCACATTGGGCTTCCTGCTCAGTTGGGAGTCTGCTTCTCCCTCTCCCTCTGATCCTCCTCCCCACTTGTGCTCTCTGTCTCAAATAAACAAAAACTTAAAAAAAATTAAAAAAAAATATATGGGTACTATAATTAGAAGCATGCAAACACATGCACAAAAAGAAACTGGATTTGGATAATGTTCTCTGTATTCTTTCTGAATTAAGTTGATTTTTTTTTTATAAGGAACATATTTTTTTTCTGGAAATTGAAAAAAACAAAAGATTAAATAAAAAAAGAAAAAAGTGGAAAGGAAATATTTTTGAAGGCAGAGGAGAGACCAAAATGGTAACATAGGACACCCCAGCCTCCCTACCCCTCCACAAAGATCAACAATTAGACAGTTATCTATGGACAAAAACAGCTCTGGAAGAGCTTTGGAGTCCAGTTAGGAGGTTTTAGGAACACAGTGGAACAAAAAACCCAAGAATAACTACACAAGAAGAAGGAAGACTTCATTTTGCTGCATCATCTCATCCCCCAAGCCAGCACTGCTCAGTGTCAAGAGGGAACTTCTTGGCCAGAAAGAAATCCCCTGGCCAGGAAGGAAGAGCAACCAGCTTCTCCAGTCTTTTGGGGCAGTCCACAAAGGTCCCACTTCAGTTTCCTCCCACCCAGACTGGCAAAGCTGAAGTGTATAAGGCCAGCTAGGAACACGGAAGCAAAGTAGGGGCTACAGTCGGAGTGACTGTGGTGTGTAGACACCTGCTCTGCAGACAAACCTGGCAGATCTTACCACTGAGCCAAAGCCAAGGGCCAGGATGGCTGTGGCCACTGGGTACCCCCTGCAGATTTCATCAGTGTTCATCCCACAGGCATTCATGATGCCAAGCATCAGAGCCCCTTGCCCAGCCTCCCCTCCCCACGTCCCTGCCAGAGCCTGGGAACCACGCCGGCAGCCAGCTCAGAACTCTGCAGCTGCTGGAGTGCAAGATGCCAGCACAGACACCCTCTGGCTGACCCCTCCCCGTTCATGCAGTTGGAACTAGCCCCTCCAGCTGTGCATCTGCACATGGCCCAACCCTCATCACAGGCCTCCACTGCAGTGTGCATGCTGGGGGGAGAGTGTGCAGCCACAGGAGGACACACCAACAACCAGGGCCTTGTGCAGCTGCCAGTGAGCCCATAGCTGGCCCTGGCCCTTGCCTTCTCTGCTTCCCACCACCATGTGTGTGTCTGCAAATGGCCCCTGCCACTACACAGGCATCCACAGCTGGCACCCGACCGCCAATTATGTGTCCCAGCTCCAGTCACCACTGCTGCTTACCCTGTTCCCTAGCTGCTGGACCTGGAGGTCGCTAAAGACCCCCCAAAGCCCTTGCAGCCACTATGGACCCCCTGTAGCACCTGTCAAGGACTACACAGTTGTCAGTGCCATAGACCCCAGTGGCCTGGGCAAAGAGACATCATGTCCCCTAAACCTAAACCCAGTGTTGCCACAAAGCCCTGCACTCGGTGCCCTACACCACTAGGCCCAGGATCACAGCAAGCTGCAGCATACCTCCACCACAGGTCAAAGTCATCCCTTACCAAAGTCAGCCCATAAAGTCTGCAAGAGGTAGTGCTTCTTCATGTGAAGACACCTATGCAAGATATAGGGATCATGAAGAATCAGGGAAACATGATTCCACCACCTATAGTAACTGGCCCCAAAGAAATGGAGAACCAGGAATTGCCTAATGAAAAAAATTCAGAATTGTCCTAAAGATGCTCAGGAGACCTACAAAAGAACAGAGATGGGCAATTTAATGATATCAGGAAAACAACAAAGGAACAAAGTGAGAAGTTCAATAAAGACTTAGAAAACATAAAAAAGAACCAAACAAATTTTGGAGCTGAAGAACACAATGACTGAACTGAAGAATTCAACTATAGCTTCAAAAGAAGATCTGAACAAGCAGAAGAAAGAATCTGTAAGCTAGAAGACAAATAACTTGAAGCTAACCCACAGAGGAGCAAAAAGAAAAAAGAATGAAAAGGAATGAAGAAAGCCCATGGAACTTATGAAATACCAACAAGAAAAATCATGTATGTATCACTGGATCCTTCTCTAGAAGGAGAATACAGAAAGGGGTAGACAGCTTATTTAAAGAAATAATGGCTGAGAATTACTCAAACCTGGGGATAGATTTGGACATTCAAGTTCATGAAGCTATTGGTACTCAAAATTTCAATCTAAAATAATCTTCTCCAAGGGCGCCTGGGTGGCTCAGTTGGTTAAGCGACTGCCTTCGGCTCAGGTCATGATCCTGGAGTCCCGGGATCGAGTCCCGCATCGAGCTCCCTGCTCAGCAGGGAGTCTGCTTCTCCCTCTGACCCTCTTCCCTCTCATGCTCTCTATCTCTCATTCTCTAATAAATAAAATCTTTAAAAAAAAAATAATCTTCTCCAAGACACATAATAATAAAATCAAAGACAAAGAAAGAATTTTAAGAGCAGTAAAAGAAAAAAAAACTCTCTCATACAAGGTAACTTCCATAAACGATCAGCACATTTTTCAGCAGAGATCTTACAGGCCAGGAGAGAATGGGATCATTCAGTGTTAAAAAAAAGAAACTGCCAACACAGGATACTTTATCCAGAAAAAATGTGCTTCAGAAAGGAAGGCAAGATAAAGACCTTCCCTAATAAACAAAGATGAGAAGATTTATTACCACTAAACCTGCCTTATGAGGAATGCTGAAAGAAGTTCAAGCTGAAATAAAAAGGCATTAATTAGTAACATGAAAATACACAACACATGGATAAAGTGAGCATATAGTCGGATTTAGAATACCCTAAAACTGCAACATGGTGATGTATTCACTTCTTAATTCTAGTATAAAGATTAAAGGACTAAAGTACTGAAAACCTCTGTAGCTCCAACAATTTGTTAGTGGATACAAAATATAAAAAGATATAAATGGTGACATCAAAAAACCTAAAGTGAGGAGGGTAAATAAGGATAGGGTGTTTATATGTGATCAAAGTTGAGCTGCTATCAGTGTAAAATAGACCGCTACAGATATGTTTCATGTGAGTTTCATGGTAACCACAAAGCAAAAACCTACAGCAGCTTCACAAAAAATAAAGAGAAAAAAATCAAAGATACTATGACCAATCATCAATACACAAAGGAAGACAACAAGACAGGAACAAGGGAACTACAAAACAGCCAGAAAACATTAAATGGCATTAATAAATCCTTACCTATCAATAGTTACTCTAAACATAAATGAACTGAATTTTCTAATCAAAAGACAAAAAGCTGAATGATTTAAAAAAAAAAAACCCACAAGATCAACTATATGCTGCCTATACTATAAGAGACTATAAGAGACTTGCTTTGGCTTGAAGCACATACATAAGCTGAAAGTGAAGGGATGGAAAAGATAATCCATGCAAGCGGAAACCAAAAGAGACATGGGTAAGTATACTTACAACAAACAAAATAGACTTTAAGCCAAAAATGGTAACAAGAAACACAGATGGTCATTATATAACGGTAAAGGGATCAATTAATCAAGAAGATATAACAACCACCTGAAACTAATATAACACTGTTAATTATGCTGGAATTAAAATAAAACAGAGGGGGAAAAAGATATGATCATAAATATACATGCACCCCACATCAAAGCAGATACTAACAGATGTGAAAGGAGAAATAGACAACAAGACAATAATGTAAGGGATTTCAATAGATGACTAAATCAGATAGGAAATGAACAAGGAAAGGTTGGATTTGAACCATACTTTAGACCAAACAGACCTAACAGACATAAAAAGAATAATCCATCTAACAACAGCAAAATACACATTCTTCTAAAGTATACCAACATTCTCCAGGACAGGTTATATGATAGGTGACAAAATAAGTCTTAGCAGATTGAAATCATACCTAGTATGCTTTTGCACCACAACAGTATGAAACTAGAAATCAATAACAGGAAGAAAACTGAAAAACTCCCAAATATGTGGAAATTAAGCAACACACCCTTGTACAACCAGTGGGTCAAAGAAGAAATCAAAAGGGAAATCAAAAAGTATCTTGAAACAAATGAAAATAGAAGCACAACATATGTAAACCTTTGGGAACCTGCAAAAGCAGTTTAATAGGGTTTTGTTTTGTTTTGTTTTGTTTTTAGACAGCAAGAGAGAGAGAGCAGTGGGGGTAGGGATGGGGGTGCTGAGGGAGAGAGAGAATCCCAAGCAGGCTCCCCGTTCAGGGCAGCGCCCAACATGGAGCTCGATCCCACAACCCTGAGATTATGACCTGAACCAAAACCAAAAGTCAGATACCCAACTGAGCCACCCAGGTGCCCCAATAGAGGATTTTATAGTGATAAATGCGTGCATTAAGAAACAAAAAAGATCACCCTGATATCAACACCAGATAAGGGTACTATAAAAAAAAGAAAGTTACAGACCAATATCCTTGATGAATATAGATGCAAAAATTATCAAAAAATATTAGCGAACCAAATTCAACAGCTCATTAAAAGGATCATACATCATGACCAAGTGGGATTTATCCCTGAGATGCAAGGATGGTTCATCATACACACATCAGTACTTGTTATACAACACATTAACAGAATGAAAGATAAAAATCATATGATCATCTCAAGAGATGAAGAAAAAGACAAAATATCCATTCATAATAAAAATTTGACAAACTGAGTATAGAGGGAACATACCTTAACACAGTAAAGACCATATGTGACAAGTCCATAGCTAACATCAAACTCTATGGTGAAGGGTTGAAAACTTTTCCTCTAAAATCAGGAACAAGACAAGGGTGTCTACTCTTACCATTCCTATTCACCATAGAACTAGAAGTCTTGGCCAGAGCAATCAGGCAACAAAAAGAAGAGGCATCCAAATAGGAAAGGAAGAAGTAAAACCCTCTTTGTATGCAGATGACATGATCTTAAATTCAGAAAACCCTAAAGACTCCACCAAAGAACTGTTAGAACTAATCAATGAATTCAGTAAAGTTGCAGGATACAAAATCAACATACAGAGAAAAACTGTTTCTATACACTAACAATGAACTATCTGAAATTGAAATTAAGAAAACAATTCTGTTTACAATAGCATAAAAACAATAAAATACTTAGGAATAAATTTAAGTACATGAAAAACCTATACACTGAAAACTATAAGACACTGATGAAAGAAATTAAAGAAGGCACAAACAAACGGAAAGGTATCTTGTGTTCCTGGATTGGAAGAATTAATACTGCTTAAATGTCCACACTATCCAAAGTGATCTACAAATTCAGTGCAATCCTTATCAAAATTCCAATGGCATGTTTCACAGAAATAGAAAAAACAATCCTAAAATTTGCATGGAACCACAAAAACCCCAAATAGCCAAAGCAGTCTTGAGAAAGAAGAACAAAGCTATAATCTCAGGAAACAAACTGAGGGTTGCTGGAGTGGTGGAGTGGTGGGGGGGTGGGAGAGATGGGGTGGCTGGGTGATAGACATTGGGGAGGGTATGTGCTATGGTGAGCGCTGTGAATTGTGCAGGACTGTTGAATCACAGATCTGTACCTCTGAACCAAATAATGCAATATATGTTAAGAAAAAAAAAAAGGATAGCAGGAGGGGAAGAATGAAGGGGGGTAAATCGGAGGGGGAGACGAACCATGAGAGACGATGGACTCTGAGAAACGGACTGGGGGTTCTAGAGGGGAGGGGGGTGGGGGGATGGGTTAGCCTGGTGATGGGTATTAAGGAGGGCACATTCTGCGTGGAGCACTGGGTGTTATGCACAAACAATGAATCATGGAACACTACATCAAAAACTAATGATGTAATGTATGGTGATTAACATAACAAAAAAAAAGAACAAAGCTGGAGGCGTCACACTTCCTGATTTCAAACTATCATTACAAAGCTACAGTAGTAATCAAAACTACATGGTACTGGCATAAAAAGAGACACATAAGCCAATGGAACAGAATAGAGCCCAGAAATAAGCTCATGCATATATGGTCAACTGTCTTTGACAAGGGTGCCAAGAATACACAATAGGGAAAGGACAGTCTCTTCAACAAATGGTGCCAGGAAAACTGGGTATCCAGGCAAAAGAATGAAAATGGATCCCTATTTTATAGAACTCACAAAAATTAACTCAAAATGATTGAAGACTTAAACATAAGACCTGGAACTATAAAACTCCTTGAAGAAAAAAAGGGAAAAAGCTCCCTGACATTAGTTTTGACAATGACTTTTATTTATTTATTTTTTAAAATATTTTTATTTATTTGTCAGAGAGAGAGAGCACAAGCAGGGGGAGCAGCAGAGGGAGAGGGAGAAGCAGGCTCCTCACTGAGCAAGGAGCCCGATGATGTGGGACTTGATCCCAGGACCCTGGGATCATGACCTGAGCCCAAGGCAGACGCCTAACGACTGAGCCACCCAGGCGTTCCGACAATGACTTTTAGATATAATAACAAAAGCACAGTCAGCGGAAGCAAAAATAAAGAAGTGGAACTACATAAAATTAAAAAGCTTCTGTACAGCAAAGGAAATAATCAACAAAATGACAAGGCAACCTAGGGAATGGGAGAAAATACTTACAAACTGTCTTAGTCTGTTCAGGCTAGTCTAACAAAATACCAGAGACTGGGTAGCCTCCCCACCCCTCTTAGTCATTATGGTTCACCTTCTGAATGCTTTGAGTGTTATACACACCTAGTTCTTCAGTGCTGAGTAAAGATAGTGACCAAATAGGCAAATAGGTTGACACTTGGACCGTGTTTTTAAAATAGAAAATATGTCCAATGCACAGTTATTCTTATATGAAGGACAGCAATGTATATTCTCAGTGCCTGGGACCTACAGTCTGTACATTTGTAATCCCCCAAATCGACTCAACCCTGCCTAACCCACACTCACCAACACCAAACGCTTAGGCTTGCTCCTGCACGGGACAGGAATGTGCCTACAATTTCTAACTTACAAGAACGAAAAAGCCCACTGAAGGAAAAGCTCTGTGATGCTGTGTCTTAATGCAGGGATAATTATGAAGAAGAGGCTCAGAATCCACACTCCCTCACCAAAATTTCAATTTCAGTTCATTCTCCCAAAGAAAATAAATGGACTACATATTTTATCTTACCTTTATATACATGGAAAGGAGCTTACAGCTTAAATTATTAAGCTATACAACTTATTATTGTCTCATCTATGACAGTTTACTGAATCTCAACATTGATCTTCAAACATATATTTCAGTAACCAGGTTAAAATTAAAACAAATACTAAATAATTCCGTCAAGGGCTAAGCTATGTCAGGAGGAAAAAGAAAACAAGCTTTTTTTTTTTTTTTTGGTCTACAGAATACAACTAAAAACAGTTAAAAGTAGCAAAGGAGCAAAATCATCTAATCAGGCATCTTTCATTAAAATGTTAGAAAAGAATAGGACTGGGGAAGAAAAAAAAACAGCTAATCAAATGTGGTTGAAAGGACTGGAATGGAATTATCTCCTACAAAGCAGGGAGGGATGGTTTAGGAGGAAGATAGGCAAGTGTTGAAAGTCTAACTTTTGGAGAAAGAGCAATTGAGAAAGAAGATAAAACAGGACTGGGGAGAAGCTGGGACTAGGCTGTAGACAAGTCAGAAGTGCTGAACGGAAAGGGGATGGGGCTAGGTAGAAGCATAAATGAGGAGGGCGGAGACTGCGTAAAAGAACCTGGTGGAAAGAGGAGAATGAGTGGAAATGATTTATATAAGACTGGAGACGGAGCTGAAGGGGGCAAGACTAGTGGGTCCAGGATAAGGAAGAGGAAGGAGGCGAGCGGGAATGATAGGCCTGGGGAGATGGGCAGGATGCGGCTGTGGGAAGGAGGACGAAGATGTAAGGAGGCTGAGCGGGAGAAGGGGCTAGCCTGGGGGACTGAGGGCGGTCAAGAAGGGAGCTGGGCAGAGAGGGGTACGGTGTGGGAGAATGAGCTAGGAGAGGACCTAGCCAGAGCTGGGGAGGAAAGTGGGGGAAAACAGAGATCTTGGGGGAGGAGAGGCAGGGGCTAAAGGAGCAGGGCAGGAGGAAGAACGCAGCTAGGCCGACGAGAACGAAGGAGGTCAATAGACTGCCAGGATGGAGTGAAAAAACTAGAGGATGGAGCGGAGGGCAAAGGCTGGGGGAGAGAGGGTGAGGCTGGAGGGGGAGGACGCAGGAATTGTGGTGGCGGACTGAGAAAAGGTGGGGACAGAGGACGGGGTCTGAAGGGAAAGGGCAATCTTGGGTGGAGGAGGCAGGTGCACCAAGGGGCGAGCTCTCCGAGGCCGCCGGGGGTGGGGCCGGGTGGGGGTGGGGCAGAGAAGTCCTCACCGTGGCGTCCTTAAAGGACGTGCCCGGGAGAAAGGGCAGGCCATGCACAGGGTTGGACACCATCGCCGCCGCTTTCGCCGCCGCCGCCACCTGAGTCCGGTGTTGGCCTCCCGGGTTGCCGGGGCGACGAGCCGCGTCCGCCGGCCTCGCGAAGCTCCATGGTAATGCCAAACATCCGGAGCGCCGCGCGCGGGGGCGGGGCCTGAGGCGCGGGCGCGACGGGTCTGCGCGTGCGCCGCCCGCGGGCCCGGCGTTCTGACTGAGGTGGGAGCTGGTGGGCGTGGTGGGAGGAGGTGACTGCGAGGAGGCTCCCCTCGTCACCTTGAGGTGCAGGGGTGGGGGCCGGCCTTTAGAGGGGTTACAGTGGAGGGGAAGGTGCTTCCTTTCGTCCACCCAGTCCTCACAGCTCCCCGCCCGCGCCGTGAGCTCGGGTCCTGTCTTCTCCCAGCCTTGGGAATAGGGCTCTTGTCCCGGTTCACACTGAAGTGTAAATGGTTGGTTCCGGTTGAAAGTGGCACCCCGTGCTTGTTGGGGGCAGGGGCTGCGGATTACTCATGGTTGTATCTCTTGCTCAAGGATGTTCAGGGAACTAATGCAACCGATCGTCCCTCATCCTCCCATTGCTGCATTATTTTCCATCTTCGCCTCTCTTTATTCTACGGGTCAATACCTGCCGCTCTGCAGCCTCTCAATTTTTGAAGGCTGGGCCTTGCCTATTCACCCCAGGACACTCAATATTCGTTGACTGTAGAGCTATAGGGTGCTTATCTCAATTCTCTTGATCTCTATACCTCTCTGCCGCTGCAATGCAAAGATCCGACCCACAGGGGGAAATGCATCTCCTTCGAAGAGAAAACTAAGTCATAAAGACGCAAACAAGTGGGGTGAGATAGTGTCAGGATCGTAGGTATTCTCGCCTTTGGTGATTTTTATAAAACTTGTTTAAATTATTATGCCTTTAAAGAAATATAATCTCGTTCCTGAAGCATCTTCAGGAAAGAAAGAAAACCCTATCCATCAGCACCGAGGAGTTTAAAAATAAAAACAAAAAGCAAACAAAACCCTGGTGCCCAGACATGGGATTCATTAGGTCTGAAATAGAGTTCAGGAATCTGATTTTTATAAGAGCTGTTCCTGATAATGAGCCAGTTTAGGAACATGATAGAGTAGCAAGCCTGCCACAGAAAGCATAGCTCCACGTCATGGGTAGTTGAGTGCTAATGCAGACAGCAGCTTTAGTTTTATTGCCGCTTGTCAGAGCAAATCCCCCTGTTGGGCTTCACTAATGGGCATGAAGCTCAGGGGGTGAAGGACATGAATCCACTGATGGCACCTGAAGCAGTTATTGGTGGCTGTCTACCACATCCTGCTTAGTTTATTTTCCACTAACCCCTCCTCTCTCCTCACTACTTCTGTTTTCCTGTTCTTGTCCCCTCCTCTTTTTTTACCTTTAAATTTTTAAAAATTTTCTATTAGTATATTACTTTAATGCAGGCATTTAATGCTTTAAAAATCGATGAATTACCATTGTTGAATCTACTGAAAACTTTAAAAGCATCTGTCCACTGCATTATATCTTAGCCACTGACCTAGGATACAAGCCAGCTACTGGAAGAATACTTCAAAATGGCAAGTTCAACCTTTAAAGAGGTTGAAGATGCCTCTCTCACTTCTCTCCACCTCACTGATGCTGAGTATCCAGAAACACTGGTAGCTATAATCCTTGCTGACTCTTGGATAATAACCTTTAACTCTTACCAGTTATACGATCCTGCCCTCCTCTCCATCTTAATAAAAGTAAATCCATGGCATTAGGATACACTTGAAAGAGCCCTTCTGGACTAACTGCTTGGTCGCACTTGGGTCTATATTCCCTAGATTGGGTAGGGAAGAAGTCCATGGGGGCTGGAAAGGGTAAGTCATGCCTAAGTCTATTGTCCATTGTGTCATCTGTTTCTATTTGAAGAGTGGCCTCTGCTCAAATGCCTTTCTGTTCCAGAAGAACACACTAGTTAAATGGCTAACCAAGTGTGTTTTAATACTTTCAGACCCTAGAAGTGCATGGTGACAAAAACTTTTCTTGGTCTATATTCTCCTAAAAATGCCATCACCCCTGAGGAGAGGAAGCTGGGCCGTGTTGCATTGATGCTAAAAAGCACAGGGACAAGTGTGTAAAGAAGGGGGGGGAAATAAAAAAATAAAGGTAGGGCTTCGGAAAACTGCTTGAACCCTGAGGTTTGGTATGATTAAGAGTTTATATCACAGGGCGTCTGGGTGGCTCAGTCAGTTAAGCTGCTGCCTTTGGCTCAGGTCATGATCCCAGGGTCCTGGGATCAAGACCCGCATCGGGCTCTCTGCCCAGCGGGAAGCCTGCTTCTCCCTCTCCCTCTCCCCCCACCGCCCGGCTTGTGCTCTTTCTCTTGCTCACTCTCTCAAATAAGTAAATAAAATCTTTTTTAAAAGAGTTTATATCCCGGGGACGCCTGGGTGGCTCAGTCGTTAAGCGTCTGCCTTCGGCTCAGGTGATGATCCCAGGGTCCTGGGATCGAGTCCCACATAAGGCTCCTAGCTCAGTGAGGAGCCTGCTTCTCCCTCTCCCTCTACTGCTCCCCCTGCTTTTGCTCTCTCTCTCTCTCTCTGACAAATAAATAAAAATCTTAAAAAAAAAAAAGAGTTTATATCCCGTTTCTCCCAAACATGACTACTTAGCATGGATCAGGCTTCAGTTTGCACTCACCATTTTCCACTTGGTGCAATATACAGGAGGGAGCAGGAAACTGACCATCCCTGACAGCTCGAGTAAAAAGTGCCACGGTCTGAAGGCTGTGCATAAAGCCTGGACTCAGAAGACCACAGAAATATCGCATGACTTTAGCAGGTGTTTCACAACGTGGGGAAAGGAAGATATGGAAAGATCAGTCTGCCAGCAGACCAAACCCGAAAGAGGGCCTCATGCTGGATGATGATCCCAGGAACTGATGGGAGATAGCAGACTGGCAGAGGTTAAAATAAAGCAGTTGTAAAAATTAGGCATCTCCTTTTTCAGGATTTTGCCCAGAATGCTGGCTTTATCCAGAATTTGTTTGCAATCCTGTGATATTATTCTTCAGTACCTAAAGTCACAGGACATATATCAAGCAGGTGTGTGTGTGTGTGTGTGTGTGTGTGTGTGTGTGTGTGTGTGTGTGCGCGCGCGCGCGCGCGCCCGGTAGGTATTTATGCAATGATTTTGGGTGCTCTACTTCCCTCTGCTGGATAAAAACGGTACAACATGGTTTCTGAAAAAACTCAATTCTACACCTTAAGTTTGAAAGTGCTGGGGGTGTGGCTAGTGTGTGGCCATAGTGGTAAGACCTTGCAGGGGAGTGTCCCTCAGTCAGAGTGCTACCCAGCATTCCTTTCCACCGCTCACTCCTTAGTTTCTGGAATCTCTTATCTTAGAAGAGTGCCCAGAGTCAAGCCACTTCAATCTTTGCAAAGTATGGTAGAAGGAGAGAGAAACACCATCAGGGATTTCCAAGTAGTTATAGGGGCAGATTTAGGACCCACAGGAAATCTTCATTTGACACAAACTCATGCAATTTGGGTTTAGTTTTGGCCTTGCAGTGGTTTCCTGCCAGGGGTTCCAAAAAACTTGTGTTTCTGCTGCTTTTTTCTTCCTTAAGTCAGACACATTCTATAACTTTAGTTGATTCAGATGGCATTCCCTTCTCTCTGAAAAAGCCTATCAAACATCACCTCACAGAATCAGAGATTTCACAGGATATAAGCATCATAAAGATAGGTTATTTGTTTTGGTCACTGCCATTTTCCCGGATCCCAACACAGTTGGGATACTCAATAAACAGTTGTACAATGATTGACCAACTAAGTGAGTGAATGACTTGGAGATCATCCAGTATTTTTAACTGCCGGTCTCCATTAGGAGGTGGTAAAATCAACTTAATGGATTGTGACAACAGTCAGAATTTTTCATTAAAAAAAGGAAGAAATAGGATCTAAATTATCAGGATGTATCCCATATTATATGGGTAAGAATAATTTACTGAAAAAGTTTTCAAAATATGTACATACACATTCATATTCCAGGTATTTTTTTTCATGGTCACAATCAAAGCACTTGGGAAATCGATCGACACTATCCAGCCCACTCATTTTACTGATGAGAAATCCCCAGACCAAAAGACATTAAGAAACCATCAGCTAATGACTGGTTCCCAGCTGAATATTTCTTACACTCCACCTCATCTTCTCTCAGATGGAAAAGATACTCCTCCTTCAGCACGTGAGGGATCATTGACTTTGCAATCCTGCTTGTCAGTCATCTCTGATTTAAGAAGGCTATTAATAGTATGGACAAAGAGAAATATGAGAGTGATGTGGCAGTAATATCTACTATAGTTGTGGATTCCAAATGTGGGCAGGCAGGTGGAGTCCATTAATTCAGGTAAATGGTAACCTTGAAACAATGGGGAAATGCCTTTGATACCCCCTCTCCCATTGCACACCTCAAGCAGTCTTCCTTTTCTCCTTTTATATATGCAGCATAGAACAGAAAATGAAACACCAGGTTGGGGTCTTAAGAACCATAGTCGTGTCCTCACTGTGTTATGAATATTTGTGTGAGCTCAAACAACTTACCTACCTGTGATTCTGGTTTTTTCATCTCTAAAATGAGAAGCCTGAACCAGAATTAATGATCACTAATTGTTTGGGAGTCATGGGGTCATCTTGAAAACCAAGTGAAAGCTATGGATGAAAAATATGCAGAACCCTAGGAAAATAAAACATGTATTAATTTGTTATGAGTAGGGAGAAATCCTTCCCGAGGACAGAGAGCTCCCACTCTGGGAGATACCTCCGAGAGCCCATGGAAAGGGTGAACACTTCTGTATAGAACCCACAGCACCCTGCTCTGCATAAAGTGATAGAAATAATTATGACAATGATAGCCACTAGTACTTATTGAATATGAACTTTGTGCTAAGGTATTTTTACCACAATAAAATTAATCAGATTCCAAAATGATTTGTTCTTGCTGGAAAAAAACAAAACAAAACAAAACACTGAGTGGAGATGCTTTGCATGTTTCCATAGTTGTCTTTGAGAAAAAGAAATTGCGTTAGCCCAGAATAGTGCTCAAGTTCAC